GACATGATTCTAGTGCTTGACCAATTGCTGGGAGAATAAAGCCAGGTATAAACCCTTTTACCCCAAGAACATTGTGTTGTCATTTCTCGGTCTCACTGAATCCATAGTGAACTTGCCTAGGGATGAAACCCTCAGGCAAGACGTCTTTGTTCATTTCTTTAAGATACAATTCTACAAATGAAAATTATTGGGTCAGAGTAAGTATAAATTTATTGAATTATACTAGTAACATATTATTTTATCAACATTTTTAAAAACTAAAGGAAAAAAATTAAGCTTGCCAAATCCCCCACCAACCAGAGGTAATTAATATTAATATTTTTTGCATTTTCTTTGCCTTTCTTAGGTGTGTGTATAATGTTTCACTGTGGATAAAGTGAAGGTTCCTATGGCCAGGATTCTGACCTGGCCCTGGTCAGCTAGCTTACTACACATGTGTGGGCAATATGTTGCTACTGACTCTATATAAAGAGCTCTGACCAGTGCTCTGGGTGACACGGTGGCACAGCTGCAAGGTTGCAGGAGAGCAGAGACAAGACTGGAGAGGTGGCACTGCTGAGGACGGAGACTGAGACGGCTGCAGGGGCAGAGAGGCCCAGTGGCAGAGGCCAGCTTGCTGCATGCAGACTCGGTCTGAGTGGATGGGATTCTAGTGATTGACCTGCCACCGTGGGAATAAAGTTGGGTATAACCCTTTCACCCCAAGAATGTTCCATTGTCATTTTTTGGTCTTACTGATTTAATAGTGAACTTGTCTGGGACTGAAACCCATTAGGAAGACAATCACTATATTATTCTGTAACCTGTTTGTTTTTACTTAATGTATCAAGAATATCAAGAGGTAAGTACAATTTCTGAGGAGACTTCTGACATTTGTTACCATTGCTTCACAGAAGGGTTGTGGCAATGTACACACCTATTTCATTTAGGGGTCCAAAAAGAGTTCCATCATTTGACCCTAACCACTTTGCTAGCAAAATGTTATTACCTTTAATTTATCTTTTATTTTTAATTGTAAAAAGCACATAAAATTTACTCTTTTAACCATTTTTAAATGTACAGCTCTGTAGTTATGTACTAAACAGTGTATTCTCACTGTTGTGTAAAAGATCTCTAGAACGTTTTCATTTTGCAAAAATAAAACTCTAGACCCATTAAACAACAGCTCTCCTTTTCCCCCTCCCCCAGCCCCTGCAAATTACCATTCTACCTTCTGTTTCTATGATTTTGTCTACTCTTGATGTCTCATATAAGTCGAATCACACAATATTTGTCCTTTAGCGTCTGGCTTATTTCACTCAGCAAAATATCCTCAAGGTTCATCCATGTTGTAGCAGGTGACAGTATTTGCTCCCCTCTTCCCCTGCTTTTTTAAGGCTAAGTAATATTCCATTGTATGTATAGATCATGTTTTCTTTCTTTTTTTTTTTTGAGAGGGCATCTCTCATATTTATCGATCAAATGGTTGTTAACAACAATAAAATTCTATATAGGGGGGTCAATGCTCAATGTACAATCATTAATCCATCTCAAGCCTAATTCTCGTCAGTCTCCAATCTTCTGAAGCATAACGAACAAGTTCTTACATGGTGAACGAATTCTTACAGAGTGAATAAATTCTTACATGGTGAACAGTACAAGGGCATTCATCACAGAAACTTTCGGTTTTGATCATGCAATATGACCTATAAACCATCAGGTCAAATATGAATATTCATTTGATTTTTGTACTTGATTTATATGTTGATCCCACATTTCTCCTATTATTATTATTATTTTTATTTTTAATAAAATGCTGAAGTGGTAGGTAGATGCAAGATAAAGGTAGAAAACATAGTTTAGTGCTGTAAGAAGGCAAATGTAGATGATCAGATGATCAGGTGTGTGCCTATGGACTAAGTATTAATCCAGGCTAGACAAGGGCAGCAAGACATCCACGGATGCAGAAGATTTCTCTCAAAGCAGGGGGGGTGAGGTTCTGAGCCTCACCTCTGTTGATCCCCAAATTCTCACCTGATGGCCCCCCTGCGACTGTGCCTGTCTTAGGTTGTTCCTCCCTTGAGGAATCTTACCCGTCTCTGGCTAACCAGTCATCTTCTGGGGCCATACAGGGAAATGTAAAGTTGGTAAGTGAGAGAGAGGCAATATTGTTTGAAAAGATAGACCACGTTTTCTTTATCCACTCATCTGTCATGGACATTTGGGCTGCTTCTATGTGTTAGCTATTGTGAATAATGCTGCAGTGAACATGGGTGTGCAAATATTTCAAGACCCTGCTATTCAGTTCTTTTGGATATATAACCAGAAGTGGGATTGCTGCATCACATGGTAAATCTATTTACTTATTTTCTCATTCTCAACATAATTCAGCTGTTCTGACCTAGTCAAGACGAGCCAGTTAAATGCATGCTCCCTGTTCCAAACACACAGCAATGACAGAGAAAAATGCAAAGAATACAAAAAGACAAGAATGGTCAAAACTAAGACCAACAGCACCATGAACGTAAAGAACACAAACACAGGTATCTGTGTGGCCAAAGCAGAGGGCTTGTTGGCTGAAGGCCCAGGAGCACGGTGGTGGCTGAGGGTTCTGTTCCTGAAGGGGACTCACTGACAGGGCTCTGCTGGATGGGAACCCAAATTCCCTGCTTGGAGCCAAAGCCAGGGGCTCCCTCTTTTGTGAAGAGGCTGGGAAAAAAATTATGCCAACTGCTGCAGCTGGTGAACACTGAGGTCAGCACTAAGCCCAAGGACCTGCTGGCTCTGGGCCTGCAACTGCTCTTGATGATGTAATTCTGGCCTCCGGGCAATGGCAAACTCTACCTGGGCAGGAGACCTCAGAGGGAGAGGGGATCGAGTCCCCACATTCAGCAGCAGCAGAACACCTCCTCCCTGGTTTGCACATCAGAATTCCTGAAGACATGAAGCGATGTGATGCAGAGAGAGAAAACTAGTAACACTAGCAACCAGATCGTGAATATATTTTAGATGAAACTAGTTTTATAGAACAGTTTGTCAAAGACTAAAGTAATTACGTTTAGGACATTCAAAGAGCTAAATGGAGGAATAATAACCTTAAAGAATAAGATAGAATGAAATTAAAAAGCACAAGTGAAACAACAGATGGACAATAAGTAAAAACTTAGAAAATTTGGAAATGAGAACCAAATATGAAATAGAGGAAAAATTTGAAAGAGCAATGAAAAGACACAAGCATAGATTAAAAGGTCCCAGTATGTATCCAGTAGGAGTTCAAGGGGAGAAAGGGAACTACACATGGGATATTTGAGAGATAATGGGTGAGGATTTTTCAGAATTGCTGAAGAAGTGTCCTCAGTGAAGTACTAAGCAGAGTAAATATAAACAAATCTACTCTACACATTGGATAGTAAGATTGCAGAACCCAGAAACACATGATTATAAAACATAAAAAATGTAATTTTAAAAGTTAACATAAAACAGATTAACTACACATGAATAAGACCATACCGACAGCAGGCTCCTTACCACCATAGATGCTGCCAGCAGATAAGGATGGGAGGTACGTCTGCAAACACGCTGAGGGAAAATAACTCAAACTAAACTCTAATTTCCACCTAAATTCATTCCAAAGATAGGACATGCAAACATTCAAAGGCTAAGAGATTTGCCTTCCTTAGGATTTGTTTTTGTTTGTGTGTGTGTGTGTGTGTGTGTGTGTATGTGTGTGTGTATATGCACACATAAACATTTGTAATCTCTAAAACACACCCCAACAACCTCACAGATTAAAGATTAAATCACAATTAAAACCGTAAATTAATTTACAACTGAAAGACAATAGAAGAAATACATATCAAAACTTGTCAGTTGCAGCTAAAGAAATTACTTCAAGGGAAATTAATAGTATTAAAGTATATTTTTTTTAAAGATTGAAAATGGAAAAAAAAGCTAACAAGTTCAAGAATTTAAAAAACAGTGTAAAACATGAATAAAGTAGGACAAATAGTAACAATAATAACAGAAATTATGAGCCATCAAATAAACCAAGGAGAATTAATGTTTCTATTCAACATTGCCTTCTCTGTATCTAACAAAGTGCTCTTAGGTATAAATGCTTACTATACACAATTTAGAAAATAAAGTTAAGCAAGCAATAATAATAATAAATCATTATCTAGAGTTTTGTTTTATCCATTGCTACCCTTCTCTCCTTGGCAGATGTAAATCAACTGGGGGTTGCATTTGGAGGCACCTGGGGCCGTTCCCCTCAACCAGCCTTCTCCCTAACTCAGCGGTTTTCAGAATCATCTGCCCAGCTGACAGCTGAGAGTTTTTCCCAGGAGGGCTTCACTGGGCCTTGCAATTCCTGTAGGCAAATAGCTTCTAGTGGTCTCTCCACTGATCTTCACAGGGACTCCTGGCAGGTCTCTATCCATCTTAGACTCAAGCTGGGGCCACTGCTCCACGTGTAATAGCAAACACTTACCAGTTCAATGTTCAACAGTAAGATGTGATTTGTGATGTACTTTATGGTACATCCATACAACGGAATATAGGCATTTTATAATTCAAATACACAGAGACATGGGAGAAAATGGTCATAATATTGTTATGGCAGGTTTTAAATAGTAGGCACTATGTGATCCCATTTAAAAACATATATATTTATATTATGTTCTTTATAGAGAGGATATATATTAACAGTACCTTTGAGTGGTGGGATTGCAGGTAATTTTTATTATTTTTATTTTCTCCTTCATGCTTTTATGCATTTCCAGATCTCCTACAATGAGCATGAATTACTTACCTTTTTTTTTTTTTAATCATGTAGTATTTTTATAATTTAAAAAAATGGTGAAAGGCCTTGAGAATCTGATCCTCCAGGTCTGGCTGCACAGCACGAACCCTCAAGGGCAGTTGCTGAGCCACTGTGGAAGGTCTTTGGTTAGGGGCCTGGAGGGGCTGAGGTCTGGGGCCCAGATCTGGAGTCAGGGTGTCCAGGAACTCACGGTCCTCACCTTGGCCTGGGCCACTTCTTTGCTGGTGAGCACGAAGAGGACATCCCGGGTATGAAGCAGAGAAAGGGGCAGGTCCAGGAGGGAGATATACTTGCGTAGCACATTCACAGACTGAAGCGTGAGCACAGAGCACCCTGGTTGGGGGAGGCGAGCAGAGAGTGAGGGCTTTTGTTGCTCCCTGGGCACCTGACCTCTCTGCTGGGTCTCAGGGCTGGGCAGGGCATTGCTGTGGAGCGGCCAGATGCCTCCGAGGTGCCAAAGCGGCTCTCTGCCCATAATCCTCACAGAAGAGAGTGAAAGGCCCACAGAAAGCCTGGCTGGCTCCACATCACCTCCCACCCCGGTGCTGTGAGCCCAGCAAGGTTGGTGCTAGTGAGTGGCTGGGATCCGGCTACTTCGAGGCCAAGGGGATGGTGACAGGGACAGGAATTTCTGTATTGGGAGGCCAGAGGCCTGGTTCCTGCTCTGTCACTAAGAACTGACAGATTTGGCCAAGTCCCTAATCTCTCCCAGACTCAGTTTCCTCTTCTGTAAAATGATTGTTGATGGCGTGGGACCTCCTGACTTACACGGTTGACCACAGTCATTTTCCAAAGACCTTACAGCTTGGGAAGCTCAGTAAGTCCTCTCCAGAAGGGCACACACTTAGGGCATGCACTTAGGTTTTGAGTGTTTAATCTTCACACCACTCCTGTGAGGGACATATTGACCCACTGACAGGCCACACACCAGCTTAGAGAAGTTAAGCATCAGTGTCATGCTGTAAATGGCCAAGCAGGGATAAATATCTTCCTTTGCATTAGGAAGAGCCTATAACTCAGGCAGAGCAGCCCATTAAGCACCATCTGCCACTCACAACCTGGCCAGTGAAGTGGGTGTGCAGTGAGTTGGACGGATGGAAAGAATTGCAGAGGTGAGAAGGCCTACTGATGAGAAAGCAAGGCAGGTGAGTGGGCAAGGCCCAGTGTGATGGCTGATCCATGTCAACCTACTGGGCTACAGGGTGCCTAGATATCTGGCTAAACATTATTTCTGGGTGTTCCCCTGACGGTGTTTCCAGAAGCAATCAGCATTTGAATGGGTCAACTCAGGAAAGCAGACCAGCCTCCCCATGTGGGTGTGCATGGTACCATCTGGTGAGGCCTGAATAGAGGAAAAGGCAGAGGAAGGGAGAACGCATTCTCCGCCCAGCTGTTTGGGCTGGGGTACTGGTCATTTCCTGCCCTTGGACTGGGATTTACTCCATTGACTCCCCTGCTTGCAGGCCTTTGGACTCCACTGAACTACACCACCAGCTTTCCTGGGCCCCCAGCCTGCAAACAGCAGATGGTGGGACTTCTCAGCCTGCATACTTGCATGAACCAAGTCCTTATAATAAATCTCCTTTGATATATGTATCTCCTACTGGTTCTGTTTCTCTACCACATCAGGCCTCCCCTCACACCCAGAGGCTGGCAGGCAGGGCACTTCCCAGTGGATACAACCTGATCTGAGACCCTGGCCAGGCTGACAGATGCACTGAGCTGAGGCAGGAAGGGTGTGGCCTAGCCCCTCCTCCCCACTTGTGTTTGACTCAGGGCAGCTGTATGCTTACAAATTTCGTCCTAGTAAGTTTCTTAGAGGGATAGTAATGAGCAGCTTTTTGCAAAAAGGACAGGCCTTACCTTTAGGTAGCTTTCCTTCTGAGTGCAGGGTCCTGGTGGAGGGAAAGGACAAGGGTGAAGTAAGGATTCCTTTGCAGGTCACATGAGGGCCTTAACACTCGGGTCTGGCACACCTGACATGGGTTTCTAGGTAGTTTCTTTTGTATAAATCACCATATTCATTTCTCGGACCCCAAACCTCTGGCTACAGCTAGCTGAAGGGACCAGGGTGGGCACTTTGCCCAAGGTCAGCCGACCTGGAGGCTGACCAGTGGCTTGTGAGTGCCCTGGCCCAGGCTTCACCCATCAGGGATGAGGGTACCTACAGTGGACTCTTCACAGGGTTCCTTCTTTGAAACTATAATGAGAGTATGGTGGGAGAATAGTTTAAAATATTAATTGATATTTCTTCCCTGATAGTTCCCTCTCCTTTTTGACCTCCCCACTCCCACCTCGTGACAGTGAAGGCTGTTCTGAGCTCACTGTCTTGAGTGGGGGGGGTGAGGCGGGTTTAACAGCAATGAACTCTGGGTGTGTTTTGTTGTTTTGAAAGCTGAGGGATGGAGAAGGATGGGGCAAATAGTCCCACCCTACTCCACCCCAATACAGAGACAGACACTCATATGAAAAGGGATTCTGGGAGCAGGGGTTAAAGAGAAGCTGGGAGAGAGCTGATAAACTGGGGGCCTGACTCCTCGGCAGAGCTCTGAGAAACAGGAAACCCTGAGAAAGGTTCTTGGGATCCTGAGGTCAGAGGTGACCAGACCTGCACACTGGGTACAGCCCTGGGATGTGCCGAGTTTGAGGTGGTCAGGATCTCCAAGGAAAGAGTTGGGAACACAGGATCTAAGTTAAGAAGGGAGCCACCCACCTGGAAATCACACCGGAAGCACTAATACCAGGAGGAATGTGTGCTGATGGGAGCCTGGGACTGGGAAGGAGCCCAGGAGCATCAAGGGCCTGGTGGAGGAAGCCAGGACAAGAGAAGAGGCTGAGGTGGAGGATGAGCTGGGGCAGCTCAGGGTGGCGCTTCTGTGAGTGGGTCAAATGCCACGGTGAGGTCAAGCAGACGAGGAGGGAGTGTGGTAGCCAGAGGTGAGTGTGGAGGGAACTACATTAGTAGATCGGTGGGGAGCAGAAGGCGGGCACAGAGGGAAGGAAGGACAGAGGAGGAGGGGATCTCTGCCTGCTGAGGGGATGGCCCAGCTTTCAAAACAACAAATCGCATTCTGCTTCCTCTGGGATGTTTGCTCTGGGTTCCTAGCAGAGGTGCTTCCACAAGGGGCTGAGGGGCTGGAGGCCTTCTCTGTGCACAGGACTTGTGGCCACAGCGAGCACTGGTGCCTGCTGTCAGAGGGCCACCCCCGTTGAGGAGGGCACTGCAGCCACAAATGTTGCAGAGGCCAGATAGGGCAAAGGGGGGCGGTGCGGCAGACAAACCCTATGCCCTTGGCATTTCCACTCGGAATCTAAGGGGCAGCAGCTGCAGTGCTAGGTGATGAGTGGATAGATGCTTGCTGCCCCGGGGAGCAGAGCCCAGGTGGGTAGGAGGCTTGCTGTGCTGTGGAGATGGGCGCAGCGGAGCCTGTGATGAGGCTGGGATGGGCAGCCCTGGGGCAGAAGGCAGCCCGAGCACCACCTCCCAGGAAGTGCTTCCTGTAGCTAGGGGCACCACCGCAAGGGCAGCAGGTGTCCCCACTTCTTCTGGGATGTTTGCTCTGGGTTCCTGGCAGAGGTGCTTCCACAAGCAACCATCTATGGTGACAAGAATACAAAAGAAAGGGCCAGAAGGGCTCCTGGAAAGGAAGGCAGCAAGATCTGCACTTACTAGGTGCTGGAGGCTGATCTGTTAGATGCCTTGTATCAACATCTTGTTTTAGTTTCTCAAAACAACCTGACAGATTAGGTGTGAATAGTCTCATCTTTCAGATGACAAAACCGAGGCTCAGAAGGGTCAAGTAATGTACTCCAGTTTTCACAAGTTTGCTGACTAGCGGAAAGGGGCGGTGAGGTGCCCTTCGGAGCACTGGAGAAGGAGACAGGAGCTGGGTTCCAGTTTCTGCTTTGTCTCTAGGGGGCTGTGCAGCTCTGGGTAAATCATGCTGTCTTCTGACTGTGCCTGTTCAGCAAGGATTGCAAGAAACCCCGCTCTGGAGCCTTCCCCTCTGCCATGACATTAGGTGACCATAGAAGCACCTCATTGCTGGTAAAGCTGCAGCTGTGGGAAGGACACAACTGACAGGCTGAGACAGACAGACACGCGTGAGGGAGGTGGGGAACAGCAGGCAAGGCCCAGCGAGAGGAGAGGGCATCTGAGGATGAGGGCCTAGCAGCGGCCAGGGCTACGTGGGTGGGGCGGGGAGGGGAGAGGGGTCCCAGCAGACCTCTGCTTCTGGGTGCGGGCACAGCTAGCCCCAAAGCAGATGTGGTGTCAGCAGCCAGGGAACTTTCTGAGAAAACCATAAACCTAAACTGTGTCGGAGGAAAAGACATGGGGCAGGTCAGGGACTACACACGGGCAGGAATGAGAACCCAGGAGGCTTTTATAGAAAACAATGTGAGATGCTGGTGTGGGAAGAGTTCTTTGGGGCTGAGAGGCACCTAGGGGTCCTGGCCTCTTTGACCTCCCCCAGGAGGGTGGTGTCAGGGAAGGGAAGCTGCAGGGGATTTTCCAGGGAGCATGGGTGGTAAGTTGAGATCTTGGGTGGATCAGATTCTGTCAGGCACAGTGACCTGGGTGCACAGAGGGCACCCAGGAGTATTAAAAGTCTGGGCGCCCCAGCCTCTTCAAAGGAAAATGGCCCCAGGCAGTTCCCTCGGCATAATTTCCTCCGGGATTCCCTACTGGAGGGAAGCCTCTGCGGCTCTCACCAGGTTGGTGGTGGGGCCAGGGAGGGGACCCAGCCAAATCAGCCTCAAGTGTGCCAGCAACCCCGCCTGCTGAGGTACTCCCAGTTTGTTAGCGACAGACCCCATCTGGTCCTGTCTGTGACATAGGACAAATGCATGGTGAGAAATGACAAAGCGCAGTGTGTGTCCAGATTGAAGCAGAGCCGCCATTCCAACTCCCCGTGGTTCTGCGACCACTCCAGTCGTGGAAGCCCAAGGCCTCAGAGTAACCACCTGGGTGGAAAGACTCCTTCTGGGTACCCCATTTCCCCCTGTATCTTAAAAAAATTGCATCTGTGACTGTACCTGGGTGATGTGTCCTACCTGAACCCCAGGGGACCTAATGCAGCTAGGACCAGGTGCCCTCAGGGGTGGGACCTCTGACTGGGACAGGACGTGAGCAGTGTTTATAGGAGGGGACAGCTTTCTTGCCTGCCCTCACTGCACAGTCAAGGGAGCAGGAAGAGCCATCTGGAGACTGTGTGGGTGGTCTTCTCGAGGTGGAACACTCTTTAGGGACAAGGCTGGAGGGCCCTATTACTGGGTGGGTCCTCACATGTAGCAGACAGAACAGTGAAAGGAGACCCAGGACTTCTGGATTCTGGTTCCGTCTCTGCCATTGTTCAGCCTGGTGGTGCTGGGCAAACCACTTCACTGCTTTAGGTATATGAGGCCATTGGACTTAGTGATGGGTGAGGTCATTTCCAGCCTCACAGAGTTCATGGCTTGGGGCTGAGAATGCTGGGCATGTTTAGAGGAAGGTTATAAAATTAAGTTTTCTCTCCAGGGTGTCCCTTCCTCAGCAGCCCGGTCAGGCCCTCTACAGTCCCTCTCATGGCACCAAGGAGAAGCACAGGACAGGGGACATAGATCTGCCTGTGTGATCCTGAGGAAGTCCCTTAATAGCTTTGAAGTCCAATTTGTTTTTTCTACTGCATGATGGGATTCATACCAGACAGATAGGGTGGCAGTGAAGAACAAATGAGATTTTTTATGATGTATGAATATCCTTCTCCAAAGAAGATTTGAAATGGTGTACAAAATAGAAAATGGAAGACAATGACATAAGTTGGAATAGGAGGTAAAGAAGGTGGAGCGAGAAGGCACACTGATTCTCAGAACTCACTCCTTTACGTCTTGTATGTGCACTACGGGGGCTGCAGATTTGGCCATAAAGCTTTCTGTGACCCACTCAAAGAGAGAAATAAAGTCAGTTACCCCATTTGCTGTATCCTTAGGGTAAAAAACTAAGCTGTTTAGGAGATGAAACAGTAATAGACTTGAGAGAAGTTTCTTGCAGTGAGGACATGGTGAGATGTGGTGAGCAGCATGGCTGACGCTGACGCTTGAGTCATTCCAGAGGGAGTTTCATGGGCTCAGACATGGAGTGGGAAAGTGCTGCAGACACGGGCCACTCTGCGCCAATGAACGAACCCTCTCCACCTCCATCCCGCAGAGAATCATACCTCACGGCCGCATACAGAGCAACATGATTGCTGTGACCACTCACTCCCCCTGCATCGAAAGTCACCACCTGGAGGGAAACACAGCGTTTTCACTCCCAACTGTCTGAATGCTTTCTCTACTGCCTCAACTTCAAAGTCGCTGTCCCCATTCCCTGGGAAGGACAGGAGAGTCCTGAACCCTGAGACTTCAAACTGAGTCTGTAGGAACTGACTCGGAGCAGATGAGTGGCGTGGAACCAGTGCTGGCTGCACAGAGGCTGTTTCCGTAGGTCTTACTATTTGCCCTGTTCCTGGCCAATGGAGCAGAGTGGAATTCAGCCACCAGAAAGACCTGGCTTCAGAATATCTTTGCTTCTTATCTGCCCAGCCAGTTATTAGCACACTCAGTTTTCCTGGCTGGCCGCTGTGTGAACTTTGTTCACGTAGATGCTGTCTGATTGATTTGGTCTCTTTTCCTTGTGCCAAACCAAGGGCACAAAGGCTTTGAGGACAATGTCCACTGTGTCCTGGGGTTAAATTTCAGAAGGAGTATATGTACTCATAGGTGCCTCTGTTTCCATTTTCACAGATACATCATCTATTTACCAACTACAAGTTTAGTATGAGTTCCAACATTTCATTTCTGCACAGAGTAAAAAAAATTCAAATCCTAATACTAATTATTGAATAATAACAATAATGAAAGGATAGCTTGTATAATGAAAAAAGAAAACAAGGGTTCAGAAAAAGGTAGGAGTGGTTGGCTAGGGGTGGTAGAGAGAGGAAGGCTGTCCCCAAGCAAAGCAGGTGACCACACGGCTGCACAGGGGGACCTGGAACTGGGATTGGAACAGGCTGGGAAGGGATTCACTAGTGGTCTTTCTGTTTTAAATCATAAAATATTGACTTCATGTATAGAAAACTCTCTTATACTAAGAGCAGCTGACATTTAGTGAGCACAGGCTGGGGGCTGGGGCTGTACATTAAAGGAAAATTTAAAGTCCCATCAACTGATCCTGATTCAAACAAGCTGTAAACAAAAAAACAAAATAAAAACATATTTGTGACGAGAGTACTGGAAATGTAAAACACTGATATTAATGAATTATTAATTTTAGGTGTCATGATGGCATAATTATGTTAATAAAAGACTCAATGTCTTCTAGAAATGCATACCCAAATGTTTAAATATGAAATATGGGAAGGATTTGCTTCACAGTAATACAGGAGGTGGGCGAGGTGAACAGGTGCTCCAATAAAAATAATATTGACTATGAGTTAATAATTACTGAGGCTAAGTGATAGGGGCACAGAGGTTCATTAAACCATTCTCTCTACTTTCGTTTACTTGAAATTCTCCATAATGGGAAAATTTTAAAAGAAGAGTTAAAAGCTTTTAAAAGGCTTACCAAATAAGGGCAGATACATTTGTCCAAACCAATAGAATGTACACTAATGCATGGTGAGAAATGACAAAGCGCAGTGTGTGTCCAGATTGAAGCAGAGCCGCCATTCCAACTCCCCGTGGTTCTGCGACCACTCCAGTCGTGGAAGCCCAAGGCCTCAGAGTAACCACCTGGGTGGAAAGACTCCTTCTGGGTACCCCATTTCCCCCTGTATCTTAAAAAAATTGCATCTGTGACTGTACCTGGGTGATGTGTCCTACCTGAACCCCAGGGGACCTAATGCAGCTAGGACCAGGTGCCCTCAGGGGTGGGACCTCTGACTGGGACAGGACGTGAGCAGTGTTTATAGGAGGGGACAGCTTTCTTGCCTGCCCTCACTGCACAGTCAAGGGAGCAGGAAGAGCCATCTGGAGACTGTGTGGGTGGTCTTCTCGAGGTGGAACACTCTTTAGGGACAAGGCTGGAGGGCCCTATTACTGGGTGGGTCCTCACATGTAGCAGACAGAACAGTGAAAGGAGACCCAGGACTTCTGGATTCTGGTTCCGTCTCTGCCATTGTTCAGCCTGGTGGTGCTGGGCAAACCACTTCACTGCTTTAGGTATATGAGGCCATTGGACTTAGTGATGGGTGAGGTCATTTCCAGCCTCACAGAGTTCATGGCTTGGGGCTGAGAATGCTGGGCATGTTTAGAGGAAGGTTATAAAATTAAGTTTTCTCTCCAGGGTGTCCCTTCCTCAGCAGCCCGGTCAGGCCCTCTACAGTCCCTCTCATGGCACCAAGGAGAAGCACAGGACAGGGGACATAGATCTGCCTGTGTGATCCTGAGGAAGTCCCTTAATAGCTTTGAAGTCCAATTTGTTTTTTCTACTGCATGATGGGATTCATACCAGACAGATAGGGTGGCAGTGAAGAACAAATGAGATTTTTTATGATGTATGAATATCCTTCTCCAAAGAAGATTTGAAATGGTGTACAAAATAGAAAATGGAAGACAATGACATAAGTTGGAATAGGAGGTAAAGAAGGTGGAGCGAGAAGGCACACTGATTCTCAGAACTCACTCCTTTACGTCTTGTATGTGCACTACGGGGGCTGCAGATTTGGCCATAAAGCTTTCTGTGACCCACTCAAAGAGAGAAATAAAGTCAGTTACCCCATTTGCTGTATCCTTAGGGTAAAAAACTAAGCTGTTTAGGAGATGAAACAGTAATAGACTTGAGAGAAGTTTCTTGCAGTGAGGACATGGTGAGATGTGGTGAGCAGCATGGCTGACGCTGACGCTTGAGTCATTCCAGAGGGAGTTTCATGGGCTCAGACATGGAGTGGGAAAGTGCTGCAGACACGGGCCACTCTGCGCCAATGAACGAACCCTCTCCACCTCCATCCCGCAGAGAATCATACCTCACGGCCGCATACAGAGCAACATGATTGCTGTGACCACTCACTCCCCCTGCATCGAAAGTCACCACCTGGAGGGAAACACAGCGTTTTCACTCCCAACTGTCTGAATGCTTTCTCTACTGCCTCAACTTCAAAGTCGCTGTCCCCATTCCCTGGGAAGGACAGGAGAGTCCTGAACCCTGAGACTTCAAACTGAGTCTGTAGGAACTGACTCGGAGCAGATGAGTGGCGTGGAACCAGTGCTGGCTGCACAGAGGCTGTTTCCGTAGGTCTTACTATTTGCCCTGTTCCTGGCCAATGGAGCAGAGTGGAATTCAGCCACCAGAAAGACCTGGCTTCAGAATATCTTTGCTTCTTATCTGCCCAGCCAGTTATTAGCACACTCAGTTTTCCTGGCTGGCCGCTGTGTGAACTTTGTTCACGTAGATGCTGTCTGATTGATTTGGTCTCTTTTCCTTGTGCCAAACCAAGGGCACAAAGGCTTTGAGGACAATGTCCACTGTGTCCTGGGGTTAAATTTCAGAAGGAGTATATGTACTCATAGGTGCCTCTGTTTCCATTTTCACAGATACATCATCTATTTACCAACTACAAGTTTAGTATGAGTTCCAACATTTCATTTCTGCACAGAGTAAAAAAAATTCAAATCCTAATACTAATTATTGAATAATAACAATAATGAAAGGATAGCTTGTATAATGAAAAAAGAAAACAAGGGTTCAGAAAAAGGTAGGAGTGGTTGGCTAGGGGTGGTAGAGAGAGGAAGGCTGTCCCCAAGCAAAGCAGGTGACCACACGGCTGCACAGGGGGACCTGGAACTGGGATTGGAACAGGCTGGGAAGGGATTCACTAGTGGTCTTTCTGTTTTAAATCATAAAATATTGACTTCATGTATAGAAAACTCTCTTATACTAAGAGCAGCTGACATTTAGTGAGCACAGGCTGGGGGCTGGGGCTGTACATTAAAGGAAAATTTAAAGTCCCATCAACTGATCCTGATTCAAACAAGCTGTAAACAAAAAAACAAAATAAAAACATATTTGTGACGAGAGTACTGGAAATGTAAAACACTGATATTAATGAATTATTAATTTTAGGTGTCATGATGGCATAATTATGTTAATAAAAGACTCAATGTCTTCTAGAAATGCATACCCAAATGTTTAAATATGAAATATGGGAAGGATTTGCTTCACAGTAATACAGGAGGTGGGCGAGGTGAACAGGTGCTCCAATAAAAATAATATTGACTATGAGTTAATAATTACTGAGGCTAAGTGATAGGGGCACAGAGGTTCATTAAACCATTCTCTCTACTTTCGTTTACTTGAAATTCTCCATAATGGGAAAATTTTAAAAGAAGAGTTAAAAGCTTTTAAAAGGCTTACCAAATAAGGGCAGATACATTTGTCCAAACCAATAGAATGTACACTACCAAAAGTGAACACTAATGTAAACTCTGGACTCCGGGTGATGACAATATGTCTGTGTTGGTTCACCAATTGTAATAAATAGTGGGGTACAAGGGGTGTATGTACTTTCTGCTTAATTTCGCTGTGAAACCCAAACTGCTCTAAAAAATAGTCTATTAAACAAGCCAACCACAGAACTCGAATACCCCATTCTGATGCCAGTCTTCCGTGCCGCTCAGTAGAGGGAGACCTACTGAGTCTACTGTCTGAGAGTGGATAACCCAGCCCCTTGGGCAAGTCACAGAACTTTACACCTGGAAGTCATTTCAGCTTCCACTGTCTTGGTTTCCTCATCTGTGAGATCAGAAAAGTTATACGTGCCCTACTTTCCTCACTGGGTTGGGGTGGGGATGAAATAAAACCCCATGGAAGCTCTAAGAACTGTGTAGCACTTCACAGCCCCGAGCCCGTGCCATCAGATAGAGGGTGCCAGGAGGGCGTGGTGACTGTCACAGGCACGTAGGGCGGACAGCATTCCCTGGTCAGGGGTTGGAGGCCATGTGGAGTTTGGCTCAGTCACCTCTGAAATTCCCCAGCCCTTTGTTTCCATCACATCCTATGCCTTCTCATAGTCTCCCCCTTCCCTGTGTTGCCTTGTAGCCAGCTTCCGTGACCTTTGCAGCTTTCTGCATGAGGACAATGGCCCCAGGAGTTCTTTACAGAGCTCCGTCCACTCTTTTTCCCTCTAAATTGCAGAACTCTGTTCAAATGAAACCTTACCCAGACTCCAATCAAGGGAGGTAATGGAGGGGCTGATCTGGTTTCTCCAAGACAGTGGTTCTCAACCAGGGGCAGTTTGCCCCAGGGACATTTGGCTGGAGGTATTTTTATTGTGACAAACAAGACAGGTTGCTACCGGGACAAGGTGGACTGTCTCGTGGGCAGAGGCCAGGGAGGCAGCTAAATGACCTACAAAGCACAGGGTGATTGGGCCAAACGTCAGTGGGGCCCTGGGGGCAGGGACTAGGTGTGCCTGGTCACAGCTGTATCCCCATTCACAACTGGCAGTGACTATCACAGAGCCCATGCTCAGTATTTGCTGAATGAAAGGCAGAGGGATGGGTCCCTGCCTCCAGAAGACATGCTCACGCCCCTAGTCTGCTTTCTGTGGAGGGGAGCACCAGGCCCTCCAGTGCTGTCCCGTCAGCTTTCTGCATGGTTCTCCTGATGCTCCTGCAGTGGGCAGGGCAGATAGCTCAGCAGTGTACGACAGAGCTGGGGGCAGACAGAACCCCGTTTCCTTCCACCACACTGGGCTAAGGGCTGCAGAGCCAGCTTCTGCTCTGGATAAAAGAGAGCTTTTTCTCTCCAAAGCCCAGCCCAGGTGAAAAACTCTCCCTGGCTGAGCCCTGTGCTCCTCACCTCTGCCTGTGCTTGCCTGGTGCTGCTCATCTGACCTAATCGGTCTACACAGGCACCTGGGGCGTTCCATGATTTATGCAGTCAGCCGGGTATGGGATACTGCCATGGGTGACTTCTCACCTGCCTAGTACCAGCCCCTCATCCCTGGCCCTGCAGGAACTGTAGGACAGTGTGGCAGTGCATCACCAGGGGCTGAATGGGAATCTGTACCAGCTTGATTATGGCCACTTATGTCCCTACTGGCCATGATGTTAGCACGGCCTTATCCTTCTATTGTCCCATGAAGTGCAGGTCAGGGAAATCATTCCCAACCACCCACATTATGATAACTTAGCGTTTCCTTATTAACAGCAAGGTGTGTTTAAGGAGCTGTTTTCAAGCCAATTTCCTTGCTTACAGAAATTAAGTCAAGTCAAGATTATCCTGATAGTAAAGTTTCCCTCACTCGCTTGAATGAATGTGGGCAGCTCAGACAACAGAAAGAGCTCCAGGCAGGGAGGTGGCAATTAACAGTGCAGCAGTTTGGGAAAGCACTGTCAGGGACCTGTTCTTGGGGCTGTAGAAATGTCATGGCGCATGGATCTTCAGGGACCTTACAGTCTACTTCACAAGACATGGTCTGTTCTTTAAAGGATGTCACAGGTGCAGGACACACAACAAATACTGCAGGAATCCCAGAGAAAGCTGAAGAAGTCAGGGAAGGCTTCTTGGAGAAGGAGGTCTTGCGGTCTGGACCATGAAACACTTTCCTGGGACACAAACTTGGGGGACTGTTCAGAGAGCAAGAATGGCATGCAGAACCGAGGGTGCCCTGAACTCCTTCCTCCCTGGTTGCTCAGAGCCACGGCAGCTGTAATGTGGTAAAAAAAAAAAAACCTGGTCCTTTGGCAAGGACCAATTCCGCTCCCCAGTGCGCAGTGCTTCAGTAAGGGCCGGATCAAAGAGGGCCAGGTTCGGAGAGACAGGGGTTTAGCCTACAGGCAGGAGTTACTGGCAGACCAGCCGTTCTTACACACTGAAGTAGGAGAGGGGAGACTGCAGGGACTGGCCCCCGGGGAAGGCACTGCCCTAGGTACAGGGGGCACCGCAGCACACGCCACAGACCTCACTGGGCTACTTCAGGCTGGCCTGAAGACGGCTCTCTCCAGCTGTCTGGGCCGTGGCGCCCTGAGAAGGTCTGCCCGGGCGGGCCGTGCTGGAACAGGCAAGAGGATCCCCATGAGCCCACTCAGCAGGGTTGGCATTTGACTCTGAAGCCCAAGGACCGAGCCCCCTGCTCTCACACTCGGAGCCTCTGGTAAGGTGACACTGGGAGGTGTGGGCCTGCAAGCTGCTGCTGACCATTTTTCCAGTCAGGAAGAGGATGAAGCCAACTCACAGAGAGAGACGGAGAAGAGCCTCGGCTGGGCGGCAGCTCATCTGCATCCCGGGCTGTGTGCGATTCAGAGAGGGTGGCCAGGCGCCCCTTCTGGCCTGTGTGGACCGTTTCAGTGATGAACTTTTACTAGCACACAAAGACGGTCTGATAATATTGTCAATGAAAATCTGCTCTTAAGAAGGTCTAGTAAATTAGTTCACTCAGTGAATTCATCGTTGATAAAACGCCTTATGGCAGTTTCATTTTTAATGAGGATTAACCAGAACTTAAACCAAAAGACTGGGGCTTTCAATGGTAGAATTTCAGGCATTAACCCCAGAAGGGTTTAGTAGTATTAATTTTGAGGGCGATAGTAAGCCTCCTTAGCAGCCTAACAAATCGGCCCCTGGCAAGGCCCAGGCCAGGGGACCCTGGTGCAACTGAGGCCGTTGTTTCCAGACTTGTCCAGCTTGGCCAGTAAATGTGAATCTCCACTGTTGCTCTAACTGTGACTAAAATTTTCTGCCTGTAGTGAGTGTGACTTTATTCTCACGGTTTTTTGGAATGGGAAATCGAGGCTTAAAATCCTAGCTCCATCCCTTGCCAAGCCTGGGTGAGCTGCTCAGCCACTGGTAACCTCAATGTCCCCACTGTGAAGAGAGAATTCTAATACTTACCTAAAGTTGAAGTATGACTCTAAGTGGGAAAACACTTGGTAATAGGTGAAATTCTGTACAGAGGCGTAGCACAGGCTCTCAGCACCTGAGTTTGTGGGTGGCAGGACAGAGGGGGAGGGTGGGGGGTTAGAGATGACACAGTTTGGAAAGAACCTCTGCCTCAACTGAGTGCTGGCAATTTGGTTACTTGATTTCATGGAAGGTGTGTTTATTCCTCTGTCATTTTGAAAGAGCCCTGGGGGACTGAGCCCCCTTTTAGGGTGGTCCTGGAGAAGGGCTGGAGGTGAGAGTGCAGCCACAGGACAGGTGTGGTAGGACCCCAGCTTTGCATTCTGAGAGGGTGTCTCCTTACCAGGTTGATGCCATTCCTTTCTATGTGCTGGAGGAGGACACTGGCCACATGCTGGGTGTCCCACTGCATGCGGGGGTCATCTGGGAAATCCCTGGGAGGAAAGAGCACAACTTGAACACCTTTTCTAAGCAGGCTAAACGTCCCCCTAGGCTCTGGTAGGTGTGTGCCAATCTTGTGATGGGAATCTAATCAGGGGACACCCTTAAGTATCCAGATTTCGGTGAAAGAGGTAAGAGAAACATGACAGAACTAGAAGTCAGGGCACAGTCCCACACAACACATTTTGGGGTTTTGTGCTCATTGCTGAGGGGAAGAAACAGACATCAATGAGACAAGGCTCTGTGCACGAGTTGTGGAGACACATGAGTTAACATCAGATTTGGACACAGAGCAGTATGGTACGTATTTTTATAAGAATAGTAGTAATATTGCTTAATAAAAGTACAAAGATGTATTGCTTCATTTAACCTCACGAACACCTGTCAAAGAGCCTCTACAGATGAAGTTAAGTAGCCTCCTCACAAGGTTGTTAGAGCTGGATTTGAACCCAGTTTTCTGACTGCAAAGCCAAGATGCTTCAGTCCTGGAGCAGGCACTGCACCACCTAGCTCAGGAGCAGAGGTCTCTGCAGATGAATCTGCACCTTATCTGTCTGTCTACTCAGCCACGTCACACACCTCTCTCTTCCTCCGTCTCTTTTTTGTATATGGATCTGTGGCATCATCTGATGGAGACCAAGGTCTCAATTTGAGCTCAATTTGAAGTCATTATTTAGTCTTATAAGTAGGTATCTCTCTCTGTGGCTCAGGTGCTGCGGCAACACCGCCATGCTGAGAGGACACAGCTCTCTTGGCTCCCCAGCAGGTAGGCTGCTATAACTTTTCTATGGACAAAGGCCACTCGCTGACCTACTTCGGACTTCCGTCAAAAGAGAGCCACTGAAGGTTTCTCAGCAGGAAAATGACGTGAGCCTCAGCACTAAATACTGGAGTTATTTCCACTGCTTCACTGTCTGCTCTACCAAATCCCTCAGATGTCTTCTGTAGAGGGCAGCTTTATACTTTTCAAAATCAGAGTCCTTGCTAGCCATTCCCTGTGGTCCTCATACTGCTCCTGCAGTGAGCAGACAGCTCAGCTGGTGGGGAAACGTTAGGGACAAAGGGGAAAAGCAGGGACCAGTACCAAGTTCTGCTTTGCTCCCAGGAATGGAGCCGAATGTGTACGTGGAACAGGAACCTGCTGAGCTCAGACTGCTGAAGGAGACACAGATAAAGCAATAGAGGAAAATACACCCTGGAATGAAAACAGTTACATACATACTCCTGGCTGGGAGGTCCATATAACTGTATTAAGGCATCATTGTAGAAACAGAATACACCAAAAATATTCACATGGATGGAGAAGCAGCCTAAAAGAAAGATAGGACAGCAGTTGCTAAGCCTATGAATTCTCAGCTTTGAAGTGTTGAAAGATAAATCCCAGAGTGGAAAGCTCACTGCCGCCTGCTGTTTCTCTTCAGAGCCCTGGGATCTGCTGTTCTAGGCACTTCACCCAGTAAGATCCAGAGGGACTGGAGTCACTGCATGCCTTTCTTTGGTGGCTCTACCTCTGACCTGGGACGAGGAAGCCAATTATTTGGGAGGTCTTTGGAATGTAAATATCCCTTCTCTTATCTGATACCTCTGATGTGGCAGCATGGTTTGTGATCACGTCTCAACTTCTCTTGGTCAGGCAGTCGAGATTTTTCTCAACCTGTCTCCTATTTCGATCACCTTCATTTCTCTTTATTTGAGGAAGCAAGTAAGATAACGTGGGAGAAAGTATTTGAAAAGTAAAGGAATATGTAAATATCAGAGTAGTGGCTGTTAGAAATACTTCAGCCTAATTTAGGACCTTTCAAGAAAGAAGGGAAGAAAGAAATCCCTGTCTTTCTTGCTCTGGAAGTCCCTTGAGAGAGAACTCTTTGCTGATTACTTACATCAGTGGTCAATGGTTTCAAAGTGGGGAGTAGGCACCCCAGGAAATGTTTAAGATGATCTACTGAGATAAAGCAAGAAATCACTAGAATTTCTACTGATATTTTTTTCAATCTGTTCAAATTTTTCGATTATAGCTATTTTATAAGGTATCATACTAGCAGAGTTTAACATGGATACAATTTAAATAAATAGGCCCACCATCTTACTACTCTGATGGACAGTGACTGCAATGGGGTGTGGAGGGGTCTCGATAATACAGGTGAATGTAGTAACCACATTGTTTTTCATGTGAAATCTTCATAAGAGTGTATATCAATGATACCTTAATAATAAACAAACAAACAAACATATAAATAAATAGGCCCACAAATATGGGAAGTGCATTCTCAGATTTTGTTTCTTTTTATCAGATGACTATAATAAAACATGTTTGGAAATCACTGGGTCTAATCTACTCACCCTACATTTCACTTAAATTTTTTTCCCTGGATATTTAAAAACCACTTTATTGGAGTGTAATTTACATAATATAAAATCCATTCATTTAAAATGTACAACTTAGTCATTTTTAATAAATGTATGGAATTTCTACATTTTATTTTACCAGTGTTTTGCATGTATTTAATTCTCCAAATTATTATAAGTTCCCTGATGGCCAGATGTTATGTTGGCCACTGAACAGTCAGCATCCAGCTAGGGGAATGGAAGCCATCAGGTGGTTCAGAAGGAATTGATGGGAAGACCTGAGAGGCCGAACAAGGAACCATGAAACAACCTGGAGGCTGCAACGAGAAGCCACCACCTCTTCCAGGATGGCAGCCAGTGCTAGGGGATGGGGGTGGGGGTGGGGGACTGGAATGGCAGGAGCTGGAGGCATGGAAAACATCCAGCTGCTGCTGGGGCTGCCCGAGGTGCAGGGACGGGCAAACACCCTGGGTTTCCCTCCTGCCCTCCAGTCTCCTGTCATCGCCACCTATTGGTCAAACCTATTAAGAAGCCAACTGGCAAGAGAACCTGGGAAACATAGTTTCACTGTACTGAGCAAAAGCATAAGGCGTCTGGCAATGTTTTGGTTATGGCAGATGCCCATGGATAGCTGCTTCCAATTCCTGCTCAGTCCTGGCCCTAAACCTTCAAAGGAGAGCAGCAGTCTGGTCACCTGCCTCTGAGAGTCTGAGGAGTCCAGCTTTCCCGCTGTACGGGAATGCAGGAGTCAGCTAGCTGCTTGAGTGCAGAGGGCAGCAGGGAGACCATGGGGAGGACATAGAAGCCACTGCTGAGTAAGCAGGGTTCAAGGCTCAGGGAAGGGAGATGTGGCAGCTCTGCCCCAGAAGCTCAAGGACAGAGAACTGCACATGATTAAAGGGGTCAGTGTCTTCAGGAGGCCATGTGGTGCTGTGGAGTGATCACCAGGCAGGAGCTATGGCAGGTGTAAAGCTGGGATAATCCTCGGCTGCACCCAATGACCTCCTAAGAGCCCTTCAGGCTCTGAAGTCTAGGATTTCATGTTGTAACCACTTTCTGAGTGAGTTTAAAACACTGATCATGGCTTGTCGTTTTAGGGAAAAGCAGAGGTCGTGGATGGTAGTGAGCATCAGGATGGTCAAAAACAGGCCCCTGGGATCCTGCTCCTTTTACTTCCCAGGCTTGGTCAAGTTCCCAGTATTTATTGATGATCTGTTTATATTTCAGTGTTTGCACATTACTGTGAACCTTGCACTTAGAATAGTTCCTGGCCGATAGTCAGCATTCTTTATCTTGTAATTTTTTCCTATTTCCCAAGAAAGGGAGGGATTGTTCATTATTATTAGGAATAACTGAGATAGGTTTTAGACTAGTGTCTTTCAGTAGCTGCAGATGGCCCTACTGAAGCTCTGGGCACATATACACATTCTCTCTAACAGGACTTGTGCCGTCTTGCTCTATGTCTGAGACGGAACTCTGACATGACCAAAATTCCCAGAGAGGTGAGGACATTGCAGTCAGGGAAACAGAGCCTTCCGCTCCAATGTCCCTGGAATCCTCCCTTCATGGAATGCCTGCCTCAAGCCTCAGAACTTGGGATTCCTCCCTGTGCTTCCTTCTACCTGGCCAAATCTAACACAGGCCTTGCTTCAGTGCTGCCTCCTCCATGAAGCCTTCTGGAAGGAATTTGGGTTCAACTACAAAGTTTAGACGGTAAAATTCCCAAGACTGCCCTCATTTCTGACACCAACTGCAAGTTCAGGGGTTCCCAAAACTACCCTCAGGTTTAATAATTTGCTAGAAGGATTCACAAAACTCACTGAGAGCTACTATACTATACAGTTACAGTCTTTACATAGAAAGGATACAGATTAAAATCAGCCAAAGGAAGATACATGCAGGGCAGAGACAAGGAGGTGTCTAAATATGGATGATCTGTTATCCTTTCCCTGCGGAGGTGGACACATTATCCTCCCAGCATTGATGTGTAACAGTACACATGGAGTACTGCCAACCAGGGAAGGTCACCTTTGATGCTCAGAGTTTTTATTGGGGTTCCATTAAGTAACCATGATTGATTGACTGATTGTCCATGTGGTTGATAGCCTCCAGGGGGACGACACTGCAGGACCCAAAGCCCCACCCTAAGATCTGGTCTCCTTACCACTGAAAAACCCCAAACAAACCCAAAGATACTGCTAGCCTGTATGACATAGATTACCTTCCAGAAGCTAAGGGTAAAGGCCAGATCTCTCTCTGGGAAAGGCTAAATTCTTTACTATGAGCCTTCCTTGTATTTAGAAATGGTACTGAACTTTCCTGTCAACTATGGCTTGGACCACTTTACTGAGCACCTAATTAGATACAGTATTCTATTATTTTTTTGTTTTGTTTTGTGTATCTCCAGATTTGAAATCAGATAAGAAGATAGATGTGTGTCTCAGTCTTCCATTTCTCGTGTGGCACTTCATACAATTCAAGTGAAAGGACAATTTATTTAAATAAACAACAAATAATTGAGCTTCTACAATGTGTAAGCACTGCATTAAGGGGCTTATAAGCACAGCTGCTAGACACAAGTAGCCACCATTTGGCTGAGCCAAAGGCAGCTAGACCAGCTTTGGGAGGTGGAACACACAAGTAAGAG